GACAGACAGACAGACAGACAGACAGAGACAGACAGACAGACAGACAGTTAGACAGACAGACGACAGACAGACAGACAGACAGACAGACAGACAGACAGACAGACAGACAGACAGACAGACAGACAGACAGACAGACAGACAGACAGACAGACCCCCCACATAATATGACTGAGTTTATTTCAAGACTCAGGTGATGGCTGGTAATTTATGCCTGGCCAGACACAGGTGAGAATCGATCAGTGGTGACAGTGTGTGTGGCAGGTGGTGTGGCTGGGACAGGTGTGGCTAGGAGGTGTGGTGTGGCTGGGGGTACAGGTGTGGCTGGGACAGGTGTGGTTAGGGGAGGTAGGGAGGTACAGGTGTGGCTGGGAGGGGGGAGGTGGTGTGGTTGGGAGGTACAGGTGTGGTTAGGAGGTACAGGTGTGGTTAGGAGGTACAGGTGTGGTTGGGAGGTACAGGTGTTGCTGGGAGGCTAGGGGAGGTACAGGCTAGGGAGGTGGGCTAGGGAGGTGTAGGTGTGGCTAGGGGAGGTACAGGTGTGGCTGGGAGGTACAGGTGTGGCTAGGGAGGTACAGGTGTGGCTAGGGAGGCACAGGTGTGGCTAGGGGGGTACAGGTGTGTGTGTTAGGGGGCACAGGTGGTGTGGCTAGGAGGTACAGGTGGGTTAGGGGGTACAGGTGTGGCTAGGAGGTACAGGTGTGGCTAGGGAGGTACAGGTGTGGCTAGGACAGGTGTGGCTAGGAGGTACAGGTGTGGCTAGGAGGTACAGGTGTGGCTAGGAGGTACAGGTGTGGGTAGGAGGTACAGGTGTGGCTAGGAGGCAGGTGGCTAGGAGGTACAGGTGGCTAGGGAGGTACAGGTGTGGCTAGGGAGGTACAGGTGTGGCTAGGAGGTACAGGTGTGGCTAGGAGGTACAGGTGTGGCTAGGAGGGTTAGGTTAGGTTAAGTGACGGTGAAAATGCACAGAATCATGTAAAAGCATCAGTTTGCCACTAACCTCAGTTAATGACCCACTGTCCGGTAGTTAAGAGCAATTAGAGTTATTTGAGGGTAGTTAACTGGCACTGTCTGATAGTTAAGACCAATTAGAGTTATTTGAGGGTGGTTAACTGGCACTGTCTGGTAGTTAACTGGCAATTAGAGGTATTTGAACTATTATTTCCCCAACCAGTTAACTTTTAGAGGTGTTTAGACATTCGCCATGCCTGTCGAACCTTCGCCTGACTTGGAGATAGACGGTGATTTAGGTCTGTATTTAGCGAACACTGCCAAGGCGAGCATTCAGCATCGCCAGGCGGAGTAATGACCGTGTTCTTTTAATGATCACTCTGGTGTTAGCTCTTATTAGCGCCAGTGGGTGGGATGAGGTTCGCCAGGCGTTCGTTTGGGTTTGGTAATGATTTTGTTGTGGGTGTTCTTACGCCAGACGATGTGGTGTGCCTGTGTGGGCGTTGGGTGGTGGCAGAGAGAGAGAGAGAGAGACAGAGACAGAGAGAGCAGACAGACAGACAGACAGACAGAGACAGACAGACAGAAAGACAGACAGACAGACAGACAGACAGACAGACACAGACAGAGACAGACAGACAGCAAACAGACAGACAGACAGACAGACAGACACACAGACAGACAGACAGACGACAGAGAGAGACAGATAGACAGACACAGACAGGTCACAGGTACAAGTCGTCTGTTACTGTACCTGAATATTTTACCTGCAGGTCCATAACGCTAATTACAGGTGGGATAATGACACTTCCGGGGTGAGGGAGGGAGAGGGGAGGGGTGAGAGGGGGTCTATCCCTTACCCTGTGTTGACATAAGCTAAGTAAGGTATCCACGGTCTCCCTCCTCCCTCTCGGCTGGCCATGCGTGGTCACGCACCATCGTCCCGATGCGGATGAGGCAGAGCACGCGGCGACCGCACGTGCTGCTGTGTGTGTGGCGCGTGTCGGGCACGGTGAGAGAGCACGGCGGGGGGGAGGGGCGGGGGCTTAATGACTCTAATCCTAACCTAACCCGCTACCAATCAGACCTCAACAGTACCGGATAATCGCTCCTAATCCTTCAGTAATCCCGTAACTAACACGGATTAACCAATACTTCACATTCTAATCCCCATAATTCATGAGTTGGTGTAATTGGCATCAAAACCCTATTTCGAGGATTTGACCCCTATTACGAGGATTTGACCCCTATTACGAGGATTTGACCCCTATTACGAGGATTTGACCCCTATTACGAGGATTTGACCCCTATCACGAGGATTTGACCCTATTTCGAGGTTTGACCCCTACATGAGGATTTGACCCACAGGATTTGACCCCTATTGAGGATTTGACCCTATTACGAGGATTTGACCTCTATCACGAGGATTTGACCCTATTACGAGGATTTGACTATTTCGAGGATTTGACCCTATTGCGAGGATTTGACCCCTATTACGAGGATTTGACCCCTATTTCAGCTTGTATTCGTAGGTTAATCATTTAAATTAGTTTATTTTGGCCCAAATTTAGTGTTTATGTAATGGGGAGTTAATTGGCGGGGGTTTAATTTTGGCGACGTGGATGGAATGATGTTTAAATTGACGTCGCCAAATTGGGGTGGGATTTGGGGTGTCTGTCTGTCTGTCTGTCTGTCTGTCTGTCTGTCTGTCTGTTGGGCATATGGTGGGCATCTAGTGGGCATCTGTGTGGGCATCCTGGTGGGCCTCTGTGTTGTGGTGGGATCTAGTGGGCATCTGTGTTGTGGTGGGCATCTAGTGGGCATCTGTGTTGTGGTGGGCATCTAGCATCTGTGTTGTGGTGGGCATCTGGGGTGTGTTGTGGCATCTAGTGCATCTGTGTTGTGGCATCTAGTGGGCCTCTGTGTTGTGGTGGGCATCTGGGGGCATCTGTGTTGTGGTGGGCATCTGGTGGGCATCTAGTGGGCATCTGGTGGGCATCTAGTGGGCATCTGTGTTGTTCACCTGAGCACACCTGTCGGCCCCAGGTAGACGCCACTAATTACTTCCCATGATTAAGCTCCCTGCAGGTTCCTGTTTGTGGCACTTATACACCTTATTGCCCCCGGGCTATAAGGCTCACGGTAACACCTAAATTAGTAGAGACAATCGACCTTATGGATTTTGTGGGATAGCTCGTTCTTGCCCCAATAGGTCTTTATTTTGTTTATATTGGTTTAAGTGAGAGATGAGCCTTAGGAGCCATAAAGGTCAATAAACCATATGAATAATAGAGACAATCGACCTTTTTGATCTTGTTGGATAGCTCGTTCTTGCTTCAGTATATCTATGGGTCTTTATAAAGAGAAACATTATATAATCGACCTTCTGACCTTTGTTGGATAGCTCTTTTATGCCCTGGTTATCTAGGGTCATTTATCGCTGAAAAATCATTATAAAATCGACCTTCTGCCGTTTGTTGGATAGCTCCTTTATGCCCTGGTTATCTAGGGTCATTTATCGCTGAAAAATCATTATAAAATCGACCTTCTGCCGTTTGTTGGATAGCCCTTATGCCCTGGTTATCTAGGGTCATTTATCGCTGAAAAATCATTATAAAATCGACCTTCTGGCGTTTGTTGAATAGCCCCTTGATGCCCTCAGCTCTTATATCCAGTTGATGTTTTTGTGTTGTTAATAACGGGTCTCCTTGTGTCGGTATTACGGGGTTAGTTTATCATTAATTAATATCTAAGCATCTGCTGGGAGGCTATTAGTACCGGTCAGTCCTATAGTAGGGGGGTGGTGGTGAGGTGGCGTGGTGGAGGGTGGTGGAGGGTGGTGTGGTGGTGGGTGGTGAGGGGGTGTGTGGTGTGGTGGGAGGGTGGTGGTGTGGTGAGGGTGGCGTGGTGGTGAGGGTGGGGTGTGGTGTGGTGGGTGGAGGGGGTGTGGCGTGGTGTGGGGTGAGGGGGGTGTGGCGTGGTGTGGTGGAGGGTGTGGTGGTGTGGTGTGGTGGTGGAGGGTGGTGTGTGGTGGAGGGTGTGGTGGTGGGTGGGAGGGTGTGGCGTGTGGTGGAGGGTGGGTGGTGTTGTGTGGTGGAGGGTGTGGGTGTGGTGGGAGGTGTGGCGTGGTGGTGGGGGGTGGCGTGGTGTGGTGGAGGGTGGGTGGCGGGGTGGTGGAGGGTGTGGCGTGGTGGTGGAGGGTGTGGCGTGGTGTGGTGGAGGGTGGGGTGTGGTGAGGGTGGTGCAAGGTTTCTCTGTGCCTTCTGTGCGTCCGTTTGTGCGTCTGTTTGGACTTGTAGGAGAGCTGTGGGCAGGTGTGGGTAAGTGTATACAGGTGTAGGCAGGTGTAAACAGGTGTAGGCAGGTGTAAACAGGTGTAAACAACAAGTCTTAATTAACAGGTTAAACCAAACACTCTCTCCTTACAATAGAGTTTTATTATAGTTGCCAGAGCGTGTCCCGGTAAGGCCTGTTTACATCTGGGTCACAAATACCAGGGGAGACAGTGTAGTGAACATGATAATAATGGTAATAATAATGGTAATAATAATAATAATAATAATAATAATAATAATAATAAAATAATAATAAACAAAAATAATAATAATAATAAAAATAATAATAATAATAATAATAATAATAATAATAATAATAATAATCATAATAACAAAAATAATAATAATAATAATAATAATAATAATAATAATAATAATAATAATAATAATAATAATAATCATAATACTAATCTACAATATTATACAAAATAAAGTTTAAAATTAATTAGAATTATTTTATGAATTAATATGGCAAAGATGTTGCTGTCTGTCTGTCTGTCTGTCTGTCTGTCTGTCTGTCTGTCTGTCTGTCTGTGTCTGTCTGTCTCTCCCTGTATGGTATTTAAACCCCAAGTTATCACAGCCTATTTATATGATTGTTTGCCAGTGGTCATTAAGGGCGAGGTCACTTTACTGGATTGAGGTGATTATGACACTTAAAGTTCATGGTGTGGTTTGTTTTGATTTTTTTCCCGCCATTTCTGAGGATTTTTCTGATTGGTGGGTTTTTCCTGCCATTTTTGAGGATTTTTTGTCATTGGACGGTATTTTTCCCGCCATTTCTGAGGATTTTTCTGATTGGTGGGTTTTTTCCCGCCATTTCTGAGGATTTTTCTGATTGGTGGGTTTTTTCCTGCCATTTTTGAGGATTTTTTGTCATTGGACGGCATTTTCCCGCCATTTCTGAGACTTTTTCTGATTGGTGGGAGTTTTACCGCCATTTCTGAGGCTTATTTGTGATTGGTGGGATTTTTCCTACCATTTCTGAGGCTTTTCAGTGATTGGACGTTAGTTTTGATTGGCTAAAGCGAGTTTATCACATCCACAACACTAAAAATCCACCAATTCAGTAACTCTCCCCACCTCTCAACCCACCTCCCCACCTCTCAACCCACCTCCCCACCTCTCAACCCACCTCTCAACCTGACCACCAGCCAACCAAAACTCATCAAATCAAAACAAACAAATTCAGGCAACACAAATGAGTTTCTTGAATTAAAAACCCACAAAATTCAATAAAAAAAAATTAAAATCACTACTTGAAAACAATTGACACTATTAACTTAACGCTATATTAACTTAGACTATTAACTTAACGCTATTAACTTTACACTATTAATTTAAAGACTAATTTTTTTTACATTATTTACACAAAATCGTTTATAAAAATCTACAGAAGAAATATATCACAGTTTTTTTCTTTTCATCATTGTTATTGTTGTTATTGCTGTTATTTTTCAGGTATTACTGCTTTTGTTATTGTTAAGTAATAGTGACTTGTTATATAAAATACCTGGGTAATTAATTAGGTTTATGTGTACCTGGGTAATTAATTAAGGTGTTTTATGTGTACCTGGGTAATTAATTAAGGTGTTTTATGTGTACCTGGGTAATTAATTAAGGTGGTTTATGTGTACCTGGGTAATTAATTAAGGTGGTTTATGTGTACCTGGGCAATTAATTCGGTTTATTTTACCTGGGTAATTAATTAAGGTGTTTTATGTGTACCTGGGCAATTAATTAAGGTGGTTTATGTGTACCTGGGCAATTAATTCGGTTTATTTTACCTGGGTAATTAATTAAGGTGTTTTACGAATACATAGTCACTTTATAAATATTTTCTTTGTATACCTGACCAACCAATCAGCAGGTTTTTCATAATATCAGACTAGCCAATCAGCGGTTGTGATGGGTGACGTCAGTGATGAGTGACGTCACAGGCAGTAGGGAACTCGTATGGAAAAAAATGGATCCATATTTAATTTTTTTTTATAGTTTGTGGTTAAAACTTTTCTAAAAATATATATTAAAAAGTAGGAATTATTACTTTGACTGTACAGTGTAGGAAAGTTATATATTTCTATATATATTATGTATAAAACCTTATATTGATAAAGAGAAATACGTCACAACCACTGATTCGTCACATTCAGTAATGACGTCATGAGTGGTGATGACGTGGCGAATAATGATTGAAGGGTTTATTGGATGACGTCATTAGTGGTGATGACGTGGCAAGTAATGATTGAAGGGTTTATTGGATGACGTCATTAGTGGTGAATTTTTTTTACGACTTGGGATTAGATTCACCAATGACGTCATTACATGTAGCCTATGACACGTCTGTGACTCATGACGTCATTACCTGTAACCAATGACAAGTCGAGAAGACACATGTCGTCATAATTAAGTGTGACGTGAGAGGGAGGGAACAGACGTCATTATCCACAATACTTTACAAATCATTATAAAATACACTAGAGATCACGACCTTCCGTTATACAGCTGTATGATGTATAATACACCAGTTATACACTAGTTTATCCTACACATAAGCGCTTAATTACCTCGCTAAACTAACTTATTGTTTTCTGAAGCCATTTTAAGCCAGTCTCCACCGCTACAATTATTATTATTATTATTAAGTAAATTATTATGGGTTAAGGCGTCCTGGAGGGGGGGGGGTGTTGTGGTTGTTGTGGTGGTTATTGTGGTGGTGGTTGTTGTGGTGGTTGTTGTGGTGGTGAGCAGCGCCATCCTGGAGGTAGCGGCCATCACGGTAACTAACTTCTGCAGTAGTTCTCTATGTTAACACAACACCAGGAGTTCACTATGGCACTGTACCGTTTGTTGTACCACTAACCGGTACTACTGGGCTGTTCTGTACCGTTTGTTGTACCATCAACCGGTACTACTGGGCTGTTCTTGTACCTGCTTCTTGCGCCATCACTGTCGTGGTACCGTTGACTGTACTGTCCGGTACTGTACTGCCGTGTACCGTTGACTGTCACTGTCCGGTACTGGGTGTTTCATATACCTGTACTGTATCGTAGTGACGTCAACAGGAGGGTCACCAGTGGACGGGTCATAGGTCACCAGGAGGTCACCGGGGAGGTCACCAGTGGACGGGTCACAGGTCACCGGGGAGGTCACCGGGGAGGTCACCAGTGGACGGGTCATAGGTCACCGGGGAGGTCACTTGGGTCGAGGCACTTGACGGCACCATACACAGGTTGGTGGCACTGAGTCTTACACTGTGAACAACAACAACAACAACAACAACACTTGTGTACCTCTAACACTGTACTGAGCTGAACTATACTACAACACTCTGCTGTACTCTGCTGTACTCTGCTGTAGCACTACAACACTCTGCTGTACTCTGCTGTACTCTGCTGAGTGAGTTGAAGTTCTTAAGCTTGTTGCCGACAGAAGCTAGTTTATTGTGCACCCCGCTGTGAGCTGCAGTACAGACCAGCCTCCTGTAGTGAAGATTATGTAGCGTCTGAAGGTACATCATGGACCAGCTGTGAGGCCAGATGGTTCACTACCACCTGTGAGGCCAGATGGTTCACTACCACCTGTGAGGCCAGATGGTTCACTACCACCTGTGAGGCCAGATGGTTCACTACCACCTGTGAGGCCAGATGGTTCACTACCACCTGTGAGGCCAGATGGTTCACTACCACCTGTGAGGCCAGATGGTTCACTACCACCTGTGGGAGAGGCCAGAGATGGTTCACCACCACCTGTGAGGTACACAGATGGTTCACTACCACCTGTAGGAGGCCAGGATGGTTCACCACCAGCCAGGAGTTGGTGATGGTTCACCACACCCAGAGGCCAGATGGTTCACTACCACCAGAGAGGCCAGATGGTTCACTAACACCTGTGAGGCCAGATGGTTCACCACCAGCTGTGGAGGCACAGATGGTCTACACTCACACCACCTGTGGAGGCCAGATGGTTCACCACCACCTGTAGGGCCACACACACAGATGGCTACACTAATACCACCTGTGAGGCCAGATGGTTCACTACCACCTGTGAGGCCAGATGGTTCACTACCACCTGTGAGGCCAGATGGTTCACTACCACCTGTGAGGCCAGATGGTTCACTACCACCTGTGAGGCCAGATGGTTCACTACCACCTGTGAGGCCAGATGGTTCACTACCACCTGTGAGGCCAGATGGTTCACTACCACCTGTGAGGCCAGATGGCTACACCACCATCTCGCTGGTGACCCCATCATGGACCACCTGTGAGGGAGTTATAGGCTGGAGGTTAATTTCCTTCTGCAGGCTCTTGCACGCGACTGAGTGGGTGTTCAGGTTGGGGTCCACGTCGATGTTCTGAACCTTCCTGATGGGCACAGGCAGATGGGTCGGCGAGTCACAATCACTCAGGTCTGTCTCAGGTGTGGCTAGTGTGGCTTTAGGGGTGTGGATAAGCCCTATAGAGGCTCCTAAGGGTGTTATCCTTGGGTCACCTGGTCCTTGAGGGTTGATTCTCGAACATGATGGCTCACTGGTGTCTCCAGGTGGTAATGATACGGTTTTAAGAGGGTTGTGGTAACGCCATAACTTTTCTTCGTTCTCGTTGTTAGACTTCTCGACGTGGGGATCCTCAGCTAGTTTATGTCTGGAGGAGTGGCTGGGGAAGGCGCTGCCGTGGTGGGATTGGAGGTGACGACGTCGGCACTGCCAGTAAGTCAAGGCTCCAATTACCATGATGACTACTATAACCAGTACCACTGTAACTGCCGCTAACACCCCGCTGGCTACACCTGTATGGGAACGAGAATGGTGTTAGTTATACATACATACATACATACATACATACATATATACATAGATACATATATGGCCCTCTATCTCACCTGGTTCACCGCTAACGACCGTCGTTTCAACCTTCACCTCTACGGCAGCGGAGAGAGCCGTAACAGGTGTCAACTTCCGGCTAATTAGTTCACCTAGTGTCTTGGCTGCCAGTGTTACGTCTCCGGGGCCATTAGCTGCGGCGTACGACTGTGAACGACCAATTAGAACGACCATTAAAACGACTACCCATTATAAGAGCATTAGTTCATTAGTTTATCATAGCTGTTTGGTTAGGTTAGGTTATTAAGTCTTAGTTATGTGTGGTCGTACTTTTCTATGTCTGTTTGTTGCTCTGTAGTCGTAGTTAAGACACGACTACAGTGCAACATAAGTACGACTACAGTGCAACATAAGTACGACTACAGTACGACTACAGTATATATTAACTCTGGTCGTACAAGTCGTTCTAACTTCTCTCTCTCTCTCTCTACAGAACAGAAACGACGAGACGACTTACCAGGGTAACCTCTACTGTGTCGTTTGCCCCGGTAACCAACCCGCAGAGGATGATAGGTGCGGGCGTGGTGGTATGGGCGTGACGATCAGCCCACGCCGCCCTCAAACCCTGACACACACTCTGTACTCGGGCACCTACAGGTAAGCGAGTACGGTTGAGTACGAGTGTTAGCCGTGCACAGGCGTTGTTGAGTGTCGCGTGGTTTGGAACGCATTCTTGAGGTCCCGGATTGACGCGAGGGGCCACTTGCTGTCCCTCGTCACTCAGAAGGCGACACTCACCCCAGGGCTCACACGGCGGGGAGAGGCACCATTGCTGAGGGCCCGGGACACACACCTGGAGACGGGATACAGACAGATAGACGGGTCAATAATGGCTCTGTCTATGGGACTATCTGGGTACAACTTCACTGTCAATGTAGATTATGAATTAGCTGTTTCTACCTGTCTACCTGTCTAACTCTGTCTCAAACACTACTGAAGGTGAACTATCTTAACTACTTGGGGTTAACAACACTACTGAAGGTGAACTATCTTAACTACTTGGGGTTAACAACACTACTGAAGGTGAACTATCTTAACTACTTGGGGTTAACAACACTACTGAAGGTGAACTATCTTAACTACTTGGGGTTAACAACACTACTGAAGGTGAACTATCTTAACTACTTGGGGTTAACAACACTACTGAAGGTGAACTATCTTAACTACTTGGGGTTAACAACACTACTGAAGGTGAACTATCTTAACTACTTGGGGTTAACAACACTACTGAAGGTGAACTATATTAACTACTTGGGGTTAACAACACTACTGAAGGTGAACTATCTTACCTGGTGTGGTTGACAGGGGTAGTGGCCGGGGTCCCTGGATCTCAGGCAGTTCTCAGGGCCACACCAAACATCAGAACATGAAGGTGTACCATGATTACAATGACAGGAATTACACTGATGTCTCCAAACTGCTCCGTGAGGTCGAAGATCACCTCCCCAGAGACACGCTTCTGATGGAGGTTCTAAACTACCTTCTACATGTTCACATCTGTCACCTGTCCTACCTGGGGGGCATAAACACCTGTAATCCGCTATGCCATCAATACAGGTGCTCCCAAATGCACAGGGGGATGATGTACATTCGTTAATATTTATACGGCAATCTGGTCCAGTAAAGCCTGATGTACACTCGCACACTCGCCAGTTAACTCCATCAATACACCTGCCGCCGTTGTAGCAAGGATGTGGGGTACAGTCGTTGATGTTGTTGTTACAAGAGGTACCATCCCAGCCTTCGGGGCATAGACAGGTGTGGCCGTCGCCTGTGTTGACGCAGGTAGCTCCGTTCTGACACGGGGAGGAGTCACACGCTCGCCTGTTAGCTGTTAGGGGGTAGAACAAGAACAGCTAATTAGTAGAGATGTCAGGGAAAACGACTAATTTGACAAACAAACAAACACACACACGTGGCAGATCAAAAGTAAACACACTTACGAATCTGGCAGGTCGTCCCCTTCCATTCCTGGGGACAACGGCAGACAAAGGCGTTCCCCAGATCCACACACCTGCCACCGTGTTGGCAGGTGGTGAGGTCACAGTGGGTCGTGGTGGAAGAACAGGTGCGGCCCTTCCAATTACCTTCACAAACACAGGTAAAGTCAAGCACTCCATCGACACAGCTGGCGTTGTTACGACAGGGTTCGTCTGCACATTCGTTGATATCTGGAGGAAGAGAGAGTGGGTGGGTGAGTGGGTGGGTGGGTGAGTGGGGTGGGTGGGGTGGGTGGTTTTTTTTTTTTTTTTTTTTTTTTTTTTTGGTGGGTGGGTGGGCGGTGGGTGGGTGGGTGGTGGGGCGGCACAGTGGGCGGCACAGGAGGAAGAACCCGCCCAGTGCGTTCGTAGTTACTCATTCGGCCTCAACCCACCAACAACCACTCACTATTGTTACACAAATATGAAATCACCGCTGCCGTGGAATTAATGAGCCTGCACCTGCAGGCGGCCTGGTTGCGGCATCTCCTCATTAACAGCGCCGCAGATTATATATAGTAACCCCCCCTCCTCCCTCCTCTCTCTCACTCTCCATCACCTCCCTCCTTCCTTCATGCTGCCGCAGCCTACACCCCCCTCCTCCTTGTTACTGCAGCCACACCCCTCCTTTCCTTCATGCTGTTGCAGCCTACACCTCCTTCCTTCCATGTTGCCGCAGTCACACCTCCTTCCTTCATGCTGCAGCCTACACCTCTCCCTCCTCCTCCTTGTTGCCGCAGCCTACACCTCCTTCCATCATGTTGCCGCAGCCTACACCTCCTTCCTTCATGTTGCCGCAGTCTCCACCCTCAACCCCTATCACCGCACCCCCCTCCCCTCTTATGGCTTAGTGGCTTAACTAGATCATACAGGTAGAATGGCTTTACCTACGATACAACACGGGTAGTATGGCTTAATTAGAAGGGCTTATCAATGGCTTACCCACGATACACACACGGGTAGTATGGCTTAATTAGAATGGCTTAATGGCTTACCTACGATACACACACGGGTAGTATGGCTTAATTAGAATGGCTTAATGGCTTACCCAAGTTACACAGGGGCCCTTCCCAGCCAGGGTCACAAACACACTGGAACCCATTGACCAGGTCGACACAGGTGCCTCCGTTGATACAGGGAGACGATTCACAGTCATTGACATCTGGTGAGAGAGAGTGAGAGAGTGAGAGAGAGAGGGGGTGAGAGAGAGAGAGAGGGGGGGTGAGAGAGAGAGAGTGAGAGAGAGAGGGGGGGGGCACAGAACATGAATTTAAAGAACAGCATTAACGTAGCAAAAAGTAACAATGAATAGCTTCAAAGGCACCAAAAAGTAACATTAAGTAACAAAAAGTAACAATAAATAACTTCAAATGCACCAAAAAGTAGCATTAAGTAACTAAAAAGTAGCAAAAAGTAGCATTAAGTAGCAAAAAGTCACAATAAACAGCTCAAAGTCACCAAAAAGTAGCATTAATTAACAGTAAACAATACTCACTAATATGACAGTACTGCCCCGTAAATCCTGGGTCACAAACACAGGAGAACGCCCCCTCAGAGTGGGTCACACACCGCCCGTTACGCCCACACACGTTAGATGGCACCAGCAGGACTGACCCAGAATCCTGTGGCTCAGGGATTGTACAGCTATCGATTACTGTAAGGGCGGGAGTGGCACAGAGGGCGTGAGAGGGCGTTAGGGCGTGAGAGGGTGTGAGGGGTGGCAAGGAGTGGGTGGTAGTGTAGGTGTAAGGGTGTATGTGTACTGATAGGGTGTAGGTGACTGTGTGGGAGAGGGTGTAGGTGTTTTGGACAGGTGGACAGGTAAGGTAATATTAATTAAGACAGACAGACAGACACAGGTGAGTGGAATAATTAACATGGACAGGTGAGAGAGAGAGAGAGTGGGTGTTTGGACAGGTGGACAGGTAAGGTAATATTATTTAGACAGACAGACAGACAGACAGACAGACACAGACAGACACAGGTGAGTGGAATAATTAACATGGACAGGTGAGAGTAGGTGTTTTGGACAGGTGGACAGGTAGGTAATATTAATTAAGACAGACAGACAGACGACACAGGTGAGTGGAATAATTATGGACAGGTAGGGAGAGAGAGAGAGTAGGTGTTTGGACAGGTGGACAGGTAAGGTAATAGTAATTAAGACAGACAGACAGACACAGGTGAGTGGAATAATTAACATGGACAGGTGAGAGAGAGAGAGAGAGAGAGAGTAGGTGTTTTGGACAGGTGGACAGGTAAGGTAATAGTAATTAAGACAGACAGACACAGGTGAGTGGAATAATTAACATGGACAGGTGAGAGAGAGAGAGAAGTAAGAGTGTTTTTGGACAGGTGGACAGGTAAGGTAATAGTAATTAAGACAGACAGACAGACAGACACAGGTGAGTGGAATAATTAACATGGACAGGTGAGAAGAGAGAGAGTAGGTGTTTGGACAGGTGGACAGGTAAGGTAATAGTAATTAAGACAGAGACACAGGTGAGTGGAATAATTAACATGGACAGGTGAGGTGTTTTGGACAGGTGGACAGGTAAGGTAATAGTAATTAAGACAGACAGCAGACAGACACAGGTGAGTGGAATAATTATGGACAGGTAGAGTAGGTGTTTTGGACAGGTGGACAGGTAAGGTAATAGTAATTAAGACAGAGACAGACAGACACAGGTGAGTGGAATAATTAACATGGACAGGTGGTAGGTGTTTGGACAGGTGGACAGGTAAGGTAATAATTAAGACAGACAGACAGACACAGGTGAGTGGAATAATTAACATGGACAGGTGAGAGAGAGAGAGAAAGTAGGTGTTTGGACAGGTGGACAGGTAAGGTAATAGTAATTAAGACAGACAGACAGACACAGGTGAGTGGAATAATTAACATGGACAGGTGAGAGGGAGTGTTTTGGACAGGTGGACAGGTAGTAATATTAATTAAGACAGACAGACAGACAGACACAGGTGAGTGGAATAATTCATGGACAGGTGAGAGAGGTAGGTGTTTGGACAGGTGGACGGTAAGGTAATAGTAATTAAGACAGACAGAGAACAGGTGAATAACATGGACAGGTGAGAGAGGTGTTTTGGACAGGTGGACAGGTAAGGTAATAGTAATTAAGACAGACAGACAGACACAGGTGAGTGGAATAATTAACATGGACAGGGAGAGAGTAGGTGTTTGGACAGTTGGACAGGTAAGGTAATAGTAATTAAGACAGACAGACAGACAGACACAGGTGAGTTGAATAATTAACATGGACAGGTGAGAGATTGGTGTTTTGGACAGGTGGACGGGTAAGGTAATAGTAATTAAGACAGACAGACAGACACAGGTGAGTGGAATAATTAACATGGACAGGTGAGAGAGAGTAGATGTTTTGGACAGGTGGACAGGTAAGTAATAGTAATTAAGACAGACGAACACAGGTGAGTGGAATAATTAACATGGCAGAGAGAGAGAGAGTTGGTGTTTTGGACAGGTGGACAGGTAAGGTAATAGTAATTAAGACGAACCAGACAGACACAGGTGGTGGAATAATTAACATGGACAGGTGAAGTAGGTGTTTTTGGACAGGTGGACAGGTAAGGTGTAATAGTAATTAAGACAGACAGACAGCAGACACAGGTGAGTGGAATAATTCTATGGACAGGTGAGAGAAGAGTGTTTTTGGACAGGGTGGACAGGTAAGGTAGTAATTAGACAGACAGACACAGGTGAGTGGAATAATTAACATGGATTGAAGTAGGTGTTGGACAGGTGGACAGGTAAGGATATTAATTAAGACAGACAGACAGACAGACACGGGTGAGTGGAATAATTAACATGGACAGGTAGAATGAATAATAATAACAACAATAATAATAACATTCACTAATACACAAAAATAAAACGTGAAAAAAAATTACCCACACTAACCTAACCTAACTCCTCCTAGTATGTATACCCACCTGTATAAATCAATGTATAATGAATACCATATTATACTTACCTTGGCATGGGGGCTGAGTACACACAGGTCGAGGCTGGGAACGGTTGCCAGTCCAGCTCTCAGGACAGTGGCAGTAGTAGTCTGACTGGGTGTTGATGCATGGAGCTCCGTTGTCGCAAGGATTTGGATTGCAGAGGTCAATGTCAATCTGTTGGTAGAGGGTAGATCTTGGGGTTAGGTTGGGGTTAGGTTGGGGTTAGGTTTTTGGTTGGGGTTAGGTTGGGTTTGGTTGGGTTTTGCTGGGTTGGGGTCTGTTTATATCTTAGCTATTTATCTCACTTTCTCACACCCTGTCTCTCTAACATCCTACTCACCCTCCTCACCCTCTCCCTCACCCCCTCCCTCACCCCTCCCTCACCCTCCCTCACCCCTCCCTCACCCCTCCCCCCCCTCACCTCTCCCCACCCTCCCTCACCCCTCACCTCCCTCTACTCACCACACTGCACCCCGGGTACCCCAGGACAGATACACCGATAATGTCCAACGGTCAACACATTTGTCAGCCATTACAGGTCTCACTTCCACAATCGTCGATATTCGTCTCACAATTTTGTCCTGTGGGTAAGAGAAACATTTATATGGTTGGGGTGGGGTTATGGGTTGGTGGTGGGGTTGTGGGGTGGTGGGTAGTGGGTTGGGTTGGGTGGGTGGGGGATAGGTTTTGTTTATTTATATACATTTGTGGGTGTGGTTGATGATGGGTTGTGTGGGTTGTGGGGTGGGCTTGTGGGTGGGTGGGGTTAGTGTGGTGGGTTTTAGAGGGATTTTATAGTTTAATATGTATGGTTAGATATACATAAATATACATATTACATAATACAATAATTTAATACATAAATATCTCCCCAGTTCCTTATTACTCCCCATAATATTCACCCCATCTCAGTAACCTCCCCCACCAATCACTCACCAGTATAACCATGCGAACAAGCACAGTGGTAATCATCAACAAGGTCAATACAGGTCGCCCCATTAAGGCATTGACCTAGACAGTCGTTGAGGTTAATGTTACAGTTCTTGCCCTCCCACCCGTTCCGGCAGTGGCATTCGTAGTCACCCACCAGGTTAAGGCAATTTGATGGCATTGATGCATGGTTGGCCCTGGCACTCGTCTGAGTCTGCGGGAGACAACAGGTGTTTATGAGACAGGTGTTGACTTATTAAATTGACAGGTGTAGACTTATCAAATTGACAGGTGTAGACTTATCAAATTGACAGGTGTTTATGACAGGTGTAGACTTATCAAATTGACAGGTGTTTATTAGACAGACGTTGACTTATCAAATTGACAGGTGTTTATTAGACAGACGTTGACTTATCAAATTGACAGGTGTTTATGACAGGTGTAGACTTATCAAATTGACAGGTGTTTATGAGACAGGTGTGAGACTTATCAAATTGACGGTGTTGATTAGACAGACGTTGACTTATCAAATTGACAGGTGTTTATGACAGGTGTAGACTTATCAAATTGACAGGTGTTTATGACAGGTGTAGACTACCAAATTGACAGGTGTTTATTAGACAGACGTTGACTTATCAAATTGACAGGTGTTTAAAGACAGGTGTAGACTTACTAAATTGACAGGTGTTGCCCTCCCAGCCAAGTGTGCAGTTGCAGGAGAAGCCATTGACCAGGTCCACACAGCTGCCTCCATGTTCACACGGCTCAGAGACGCACTCATCTACATCTGGGGGAGGTCAGGTCAGGTCAGGTCAGGTCACGTTAGGTTAGGTTAGGTTAGGGAAGGTTAATGTTAAGGTTAGGTTAGGTTAATAATTTCCTACACAAATCAATACAGTTTCCTCACAGGTCAGGTCAAGTCATTTACCTAACGCTACGAGGTCAGAGGTCAAAGGTCAAAGGTTCCGTGTTCGCTTGTTGGGGTGACACCGTTCTCATGGTTATGGATGAGTCTCTCTTCTCTCTCTCTCTCTCTCTCTCTCTCTTCTCTCTCAATGTCTGTCTGTACAACAAAGAAAAAACTTAAAATTTCCCTTATAAAAGTCGAGTACACACACACACACACACAGAGTACACACACAGAGTACACACACACACACTCACACACACACACACACACACACACACACACACACACACACACACACTAAGTGCTACCCTCTCTTGGGACGAACACAGAAATGGACACATACACTCCTTCCCTGGGTGTAGTTTGACGTCTACACACGATTGTTTGGTCCCACACTACACCCCACCCTCTCTCTCTCTCTCTACACCCACCTACACCCCCCACACCCCCCCCACACCCCCCACACCCCCACACCCCCTCCCCCCCCCACACCCACCCACACCCCCCCCACACCCCCCCCACACCCCCACACCCACCCCACACCCCCCACACCCCCACACCCACTTACACCCCCCACACCCCCACCCCCCCCCACACCCACTCCACACCCACCCTACACCCCCTACACCCCTCTACACCCCCCCACACCCACCCCACACCCCCCTACACCCCCCCCCACACCCCCCCACACCCACCCACACCCACCTACACCCACCCACATCCCTCTGCACCCCCCACACCCACCTACCCTCCCACACCCCCTACACCCCCTCACACCCCCCACACCCACCCCACACCCCCCACACCCACCCCACACCCACCCCACCCACCCCACACCCCTCTACACCCACCCCACACCCCCCACACCCCCACACCCACCCCACACCCACCCCACACCCACCCCACACCCACCTTACACCCCCATACCCCACACCCCCTCTACACCCACCCACACCCCCCTACACCCTCTACACCCCTACACCCCCCAACCCCACACCCACCCACACCCCCTCTACACCCCCCACACCCACCTATACCCCCCACACCCCTCTACACCCCCTACACCACCCACACCCACCTCCACCCACCTACACCCCCCACACCCCCTACACCCCTCCTACACCCACCTACACCCCCCCCACACCCACCCACACCCACCCCACACCCCACACCCCCCACACCCACCCCACACCCCACACCCACCCACACCCCCACACCCCCCACACCCACCCACACCCACCCCACCCCTCTACACCCCCCACACCCACCTACACCCACCCACACCCACCTACACCCCCTACACCCACCCCTACACCTCTACACCCACCTACACCCTCTACACCCCCTCTACACCCCCCTACACCTACCTACACCCCCTACACCCACCCCACCCCTCTACCTCTACACCTACACCCACCACCCACCCTACACCCCTCTACACCCCTACACAAGTTCCATTAGAGACAGACAAATGGTATTGTTTGGGTAATATTTCACTACCTGTGTTGTGGTGGACGGTTATGCAGGAGTATGTGGGACAGGTGTAGTGTTGTGTGGACAGGTGTAGGTTGCAGGTGTGGGATAGGTGTGGGGGTGTACAGGTGTGTGAGTGTCCTGGTGTGTGTGACAGGTGTGTGGGGTTGTACAGGTGTGTGTGTGGGTTTCAGGTATACATACATACATACATACATACATACGCTATAAGTGTGTGTGTACATAGCTTAACACGCGACCATATATGGAAAATTGACACACACACACACACACGCACACACACACACTCACACACACACACACACACACACACACACACGTAAAGCACCAATCACCTCCCACCATTATCCCAACCTGACGCTCTGATTGGCTGTCTGTCTGTCTGTCTGTCTGTCTGTGTGTGTCTGTCTGTCTGTCTGTCTGCCTGCCTGTCTGTCTGTCTGCCTGTCTGTCTGTCTGTCTGTCTGTCTGTGTGTAGGTTAGGTTAGGTTAGGTTTAGGTTTAGGTTAGATTACGTTATAAACTCCAACCACTTCGTTATAACCACTACACAAACATCCAAAACAACGTTATTTACCAACACTACCATTAATTCCCTCTCAATAACGGACTCATTCCGCTAAAGATACGTTATATTTACATAGTGATTAACGAAATTACGCGGGAAGTCAGGTAAGGAATCCATTAGCCCAGGTAAACAAAACCCAGCCTTCCTATTGGTCGATTACTACTACAACCCACCAATCACGTGAGTTTAAATACGTTAAGGGTGGAATTATATGGAGATGGAGCATCGTTTTGGCCCTTATGATCGTTTGGTATGGTAAGTGGGTGAAATATGGGGGGAGGTGTAGAAGAGAAGGAATGCACGGTATTTCACCCTCCAAAACCCGACCTCACACTCCAAAAACCGCACCTCACCCTCCAAAAACCAGACCTCACTCTCCAAAACTGCACCCCATCCTCCAAAAACCGCACCCCATCTTTCAAAACCAAACCCCATCCTCCAAAAACCAGACCTCACCCTCCAAACTGCACCTTATCCTCCAAACCGCCCATCCTCCAAAACCCAACCTCACCCTCCAAAAACCACACCTCACCCTCCAAAAACCGCACCTCACCCTCCAAAAACTCAACCTCACCCTCCAAGCACTTAACTAGATTACCTTAATAACTAACCAGACCTCAAGCGTGACCTGACCCAATATTGACTCCTTAATATATATATATATATAGGGAAACAGCGTCTAAAATTGCGTCAAAAATTGCGTCTAAAATTGCGTCAATAATCGTATATAAAATTTGATTACATTGTGACTCTTGCGTGACCAATTCTACTTACATTTATTGAGTGTAAACGTTTTAGTACACACACACGCGCACACATACACACGCACAGACAGACAGACAGAGAGATATAGTTTGAGCTGTTTATGCCTCCAATCTTGTCATGTGCGGGGGCGTTCATACATGTACACGAGAGTTACTTACATACATACATACATACATACATACATACGCTAAGTGATAAAGTCGTTCATTGTATCATTATATTGACAGACACACACACACACACACACACACACACACACACACACACACACACACACACACACACACACACACACACACACACACACACACACACACACACACACACACACACACACACACACACACACGCACACACGCACACACACACACACACACACACACACACACACACACACACACACACACACACACACACACACATCTGTTATGATGTCAGGTTCGGGGCAATAAAGTGCTCAGCCACGAGTCCCAGAGGGGCGGGAGAACTCTTCCTTGGGGCCAAAACAGACATTCCCTCCCTCATTCCCTCCCTCATTCCCTCCCTCTCTCCCTCATCTTCCTTCCTCCTACCTTCTCCCCCTTTCCCCCACCCTTCCCCATCCCCCCTCCCCCACTAGACCACCACAACACAACACGGACCTAAGGAAAATCCCATTTAAAACTCGAGTGCATAAGCCGGATCATCTCAGTAAATGGATCACGTCATCTAGTTTGTTGACGTGATCTATACCGCCTCCTGGACCACCCTAAATGCTGGTTCATCTACACCCAGGGCTGTTTCAGGGCCTTGTGAGGGTGAGGCTAGAACAAGGGTTTAAGGGAGTGTTAAGGGCTAAAACAAGGGCCTGACGGATGCTAAGGGCAAGAGGAGCCCTCAAATGCCTCCTGGACCACCCTAAATGCTGGTTCATCTACACCCAGGGCTGTTTCAGGGCCTTGTGAGGGTGGTAGGGGCTAGAACAAGTTTAGGGAGGAAACAAGGGCCTGACGGTCAGGGCAGGAGCCTCAAATGCTCCTGACCACCCAATGTTCATCTACACCAGGGCTGTTTCAGGCCTTGTGAGGGTGGTAGGGCTAGACAAGGGTTTAAGGGGTGTTAGGGCTAAAACAAGGGCCTGACGGAGTGCTAAGGGCAAGAGGCCCTCAAATGCCTCCTGGACCACCTAAATGCTGGTTCATCTACACCCAGGGCTGTTTCAGGGCCTTGTGAGGGTGGTAAGGGCTAGAACAAGGGTTTAAGGGAGTGTTAGGGCTAAAACAAGGGCCTGACGGGTGCTAAGGGGAGGAGCCCTCAAATGCCTCCTGGACCACCCAATGCTGGTTCATCTACACCCAGGGCTGTTTCAGGGCCTTGTGGTGTTAAGGGCTAGAACAAGGGTTTAGGGGTGCTAAGGGCTAAAACAAGGGCCTGACGGAGTGCTAAGGGCAAGAGGAGCCCTCAAATGCCTCCTGGACCACCCTAAATGCTGGTTCATCTACACCCAGGGCTGTTTCAGGGCCTTGTGAGGGTGGTAAGGGCTTAAGGGAGTGCTAAGGGCTTAAGGGAGTGTTAAGGACTGAAACAAGGGCCTGACGGAGTGCTAAGGGCAAGAGGAGCCCTCAAATGCCCCTGGATCACCCCAAATGCTGGTTCACCTCTACCCAGGGCTACCTCAGGGCTTGGGGGGACTGCTAAGGGCCTGAGGGAGGATTAAGGGCTCTGAAAAGATGTACACAAAGGGCCATGTGCGTGTGTGTATACAGACACACGTAAGTATGTTAGCGTGTGCGTATATGTACACAGGCCCACTGACATACGCACGTACATGAAACGGCGCGTGTGTGTGTGTGTGTATTTAGACACTTACACGCTTTAGCTGGTTACCGTGTGTGTATATTATGTTCACACACACACACACGTACACACACACACACACGCACACACTGTACTTACTCTGTTCACATGAGTGTCCGGACCAGCCAGACACACACGTACACTGGAACCCTCCGTTTACTTCTATACACGTACCGCCATGTCTACACGGACCAGGTGCACATGGGTCCTCCACCACCTGTAAACGTACATAGGGAATCGATAAAACACGTACATGGATCGATAAAATGCGTACATGGGCAATAAATCACGTACATGATCACTAAAATCACGTACATGGTGATTTAACACGTGCATACTCAATAAATTACGTACATGATCAATAAAACACGTACATGATCAATAAAACCACGTACATGATCAATAAAACCACGTACATGATCAATAAAACACGTCCAACCACTGCACCACCGTACCTCACAGTTGTCGCCGGAGAAGCCCTTAGGACAGGTACATTGGTACTCATCAGGCGCCGTGTTCTCAGGACGCCCCCGTTGACACAGGGGTACCGTCCGCAGTAGTTGAGATCTGTAAAAGACGGTAAAGAGACGGTAAAGAGACGGTACAGAGACGGTACAGTTTATTTGTGAGTTTACATATCCATATAACCAAGAATGCACACACACACACCCACATACACACACACACACACACACACACGACATCCTCACTACAAGTCCCTCAGCTGTTGATAGTAACTCAGAGGTCATCCCTACATCAAAGAGGGAGGAGGGGGAGGGAGGAGGTCGAGGTCGTTAGCGCGAAATGAGTCGCCATATGTAAGTCGGTCGCCAAATTCAGCCAAATCCTCGCGAATATAATACTATTAATTTAGCGAGAGGCTTATGGGTTGACACGGGGTGAATGTAGCATAGACCGAGTTATGGCCTCTTCCTTCCTTCTTCCCTTCTCCTTCCTTCCTTCCTTTTCCTCCTTCCTTCTTCCTCCTCCTTCTTCCCTCCTTCCTTCCCTCCCTCCTTCCTTCCCTTCCTTCCTTCCTTCCTTCCTTTCTTCCTTCCTTCCTTCCTTCCTTCCTTCCTTCCTTCCTTCTTCCTTCCTTCCTCCCTCCTTCCTTCCTTCTCTCTTCTTCCTTCCTTCTTCCTTCCTTCCTTCCTCCCTTCCTCCCCCTTCCCCTTCCTTCCTTCCTTCCTTCCTTCCTTCCTTCCTTCTTCCCTTCTCTTCCTTTCCCTTCCTTCCTCCTTCCTCTTCCTTCCCCTCCTCCTTCCTTCCTTCCTTCCTTCCTTCCTTCCTTCCTTCCTTCCTTCCTTCCTTCCCTCCCTCCTTCCTTCCCTCTTCACTGTCTACGGGAGAGGAACAGGTGTGATGTGAGGGGAGGAGGAAGAGGAGAGAGAGAGAGAGAGATAATCTAATTTATTACTTTAAGTTTTGATAAAAATTAAATTACTTGGTGGTGGTTATCACAACACCCACCACACCAACACCCACCACACACACCCCACCACACCACAACACACCCCACCACACACCCCACCACACCCACACACACCCACCACACCAACACCCCACCACACCCACCACACACCAACACACACCCCACCACACACCACACACCCCAACACACCACACCACACCCCACCACACCCCACCCCACCAAACACCCCACCCCAACACACCCCACCACACACCCCACCACACCACACACCCCACCACCACCCCACCCCACCACACCACACCCCACCACACACCCCACCACCCCACCCCACCACACCCCACCCACCACACCCACCACGGATCTATTCTCGCCGTTAAAAGGTTCATATAAACGTGGTGTAGGAAGGTCACATAATGCAATTCATATTTAGTAGGCAGAGGCGCCCACATGACCGGCTGTCGCATCCCAGGGGCAACCCACGGGGTGCCTTGTGGACAACCCATGGCACCCCGCGACGCCTACCTCCCAGCCCCTCCCGCGACGCTCCTGCCTCAGCCCGCCTACCCCTCAGCCCCGCCCTACCCCTCCCAGCCCGCCCTACCCCTCCGCCCGCCCTACCCCTCCAGCCCCGCCCTACACCTCCCAGCCCCTCCCGCCTCCGCCCCGTCAAAATAAGGACAACAGGTGCTATTTGTGGGGCGCTGTCCACTGTGGAGAGAGGAGAACAACAACAATCACTCGGGACAAAACAAAATCGCATCACCTCAAGGTAGCAAATCCCTCTCCCTTCTCCCCCTCCTCCTCCTCCCTCCCCTTTCTCTCCCCCTCTCTCCCCCTCCTCTCTCCCCCCTCTCCCCTCCCTCTCCCCCTCCCTCCCTCCCCTCCCCACCCGGAAAAAAACACCCGACAGAAATCGACTCCCAGCCGCCGATTTAATCCTTCGGCATCGGGACAACAAAATGGGGCACTCCTCGAGTTTCACCGATGAGTTACGCCTCTGTCGGGCCGTCGGGGCTGTTTATAAATGTTGATAGTAAATAATATAGGGTGATAATGCCCCAGGGTGATAATGCCCCAGGTGATGATGCCCCAGGGTGATGATGATGCCCCAGGGTGATGATGCCCCCAGGGTGATGATGTCCCCGGGTGATGATGCCCCCAGGGTGATGATGCCCAGGGTGATGATGCCCCCAGGTGATGATGCCCCAGGGTGATGATGCCCCCAGGGTGATGATATAATCCACACCTTCTAGCTCTCCCCCCCCGCTCCCCCCACACACACACTTTACCTTGGTCACACACACACACACACACACACCCACACACACACACACACACACACACACACACACACACACACACACACACACACACCACACACACACACACACACACACCTCACCTTGGTCACACAGTATGCCGCCCCAGTTGAGTTCACAGACACAGGTCCAGGAGGCCGTCACAAAGCCGTGTTTACAGCCGGGGTAAGCCATGCACTCATCGCAGAGCTCACCTGTCCAGCCCATACGGCGACCAGAGAGAGAGAGATAATTAGAGAGAGTTTATTTACCTGTGAGAGAGAGAGAGTGAAGAGTGAGAGAGATGATTTATTTACCTGTAACAATTAGAGACAATAAATACCTTACCTGTATCAATTAACACAGCCCCATGAGCCCCCATCAAGTCCCCAGCCCCCTTAAAACAGCCCCATAGGCCCCATCAAGTCCCCAGCCCCTTAAAACAGCCCCATGAGCCCCCATCAAGTCCCCAGCAAAACAGCCCCATGAGCCCCATCAAGTCCCCAGCCCCTTAAAACAGCCCCATCGGCCCCAGCCCCTTAAAACAGCCCCATGAGCCCCATCAAGCCCCCAGCCCCTTAAAACAGCCCCATGAGCCCCATCAAGCCCCCAGCCCCTTAAAACAGCCCCATGAGCCATCAAGTCCCCAACCCTTAAAACAGCCCCATCAGCCCCATCAACTCACCTGTGGCTGGTGACAGATCAAGGCCATCTGTTACTACCTGGTGGAGGGGCTGAAGGTGCAGGAGATAAGAGTCGGTGGTAGTGGGTTGGGTTAGGTTAGATCTCTCTCTCTCTCTCTCTCTCTCTTTCTCTCTCTCTCTCTCTCTCTCTCTCGTTACTACCAGCGTCGTGATTGGTGGAGTTATATCGCAATTTATCTCTTTTTTGCCTCCTGATTGGTCGAGATTTTACCTTTTTATCTATCCTGTAACGTGATTGGTTATGATTTAAATGCACTTTTATTACGTCAGAAGAATTGATTGGTGGGCGTTTCCAATCCCTGCATCGTGATTGATTTATCTCTCCTACACTCGTGATTGGTAGAGATGTCATACCACCCCCACCCCCTACCCTCCCTCTCTCCTGGATCGTGATTGGTGGAGATATCATCCGGGTTTTTCCTCTCCTGCTTCGTGATTGGTGCGATTTATCTCTCTCCTGAGTCGTGATTGGTCGAGGTGGAGAAAGTGAACGTCGGTGAGGCGTGGCCATCAAGATGTAAACAAAGGAGGGTGAGGGGAGGATGAGGGAGGAGGATGAGGGGAGGGGGTGAGGGTGAGGTGGTGAGGTGAGGGAGGAAAGGGAGGTGAGGAGGTGAGGAGGAGGGTGAGGAAAAGGATATGAGGGAGAAGTAGGTGTCAGGGAGAGTCAGGGAGGATCAGGGAGGGGATTAGTGATAAGACACCTTAATAAACCGACCAACAGACACACGTTAAGTAACAGCAACACCCCCCTACCCCCTCCTCTCTCTCACCCCTCCTCCCCCTCTCTCTCTCTCTCTCTCTCTCTCTCTCTCTCTCTCTCTCACCAGGTAAGGCCTCATTATCGTCCAGGTAACCCCACAAGTCACCATTCCCACGCCTGTGTACACCACCTGATGCTGATAAGGCTGACACACGTTCACACAGGGAGAGAGAGATTAACCTCCCTCCCTGTACCCTCCCTGTACCCTCCCTGTACCCTCCCTGTATCCTCCCTGGGTGTGGGGTGAGGGGTGTGGAAGGCTGAAAATATACAGTTACATATTTGGGGAATGGGTTACAGATTACAAATAATATACAAGTAACATAAGTGATACAAATAAGACATATAGTAACTTAGATGGGGATCAGCTCAAACTACAGTTCATTTCAACATAGTGACAGTGTAGGGAGCAGTGTTTACTGGGAGTGAATACACTGGTTTATTACATGTTATTGATAATTTTTACAATGGTTGGGACTGGGCTGTTCTTATAGCGATCAGTTCGTGCACGTATGGGTTGGATGCGGTTGTGGTGTCGAACAGCAATTCTCGGGCTAGGGATCTCAGGTGGTAGTAGGAGCTGGTGTCGAGGATGGTGTAGAAGCTTCTTACCAAATTTGCAGATGAGGTCGTGGTGATGGTCAGTGAGAGTCGAAAGGGTCAGTGTGTTGAGCGCTTCTTGATATGTGGAGTAGGAAGGGGAGAGAATAATCTTGCATGCCCTCTTTTGCACTTTTTCTAGGTGTTTACGTTGTGGCATGGGAGGAAGCACTGTGGGGAGGTGGCGGGTGAGCTTGGAAAGTATGAATGTTGTGTATACACTGAGGAGCTCGTGTGCAGGAACTCCGAGGGACTTGTGTGTGTGTGTGTGTGTGTGTGTGTGTGTAAGTGTGTGTAAGTGTGTGTGTGTGTGTAAGTGTGTGTGTGTGTGTGTGTATGTATGTATGTATGTATGTAAGTGTGTGTACCAAATCAACAAGGTGCACGGAGGGACAATTAACGTGCACATGACTATCAATAAATGTGCACGGCTGAGAAAAAAAAACCTCATTGTGCACATCATCCATTACCCATGCACGGTGCACGCCAACCCGTACCAAGAGTGCACCAGCCTACCCATGCACGGTGCACGCCAACCCGTACCAAACAGAGTGCACCAACCTCACAAGCGTCATGTGCACGGCCCCTCTGTTGGACGTGCACTTTCTAAACGGAGATTGAGAGGAGAGGCAGGATTAAGGCGTGCACACTGCTGGTCACGAGTGCACTAACTCACAGTGCACGAACAGGACGCCCAATAGAGAGAGAGAGAGAGAGAGAGAGAGAGAGAGAGAACACGTTATACACCTATTCTCTCTCTCTCTCTCTCTCTAGCAGTCTGTATGTCTGTATGTATGTATGTATGTATGTATGTATGTATGTATGTATGTATATTTACTTACATAACACAACTAATACACACCAAGACGCAAAAACAAACCGACAAACGCACACATGATATCAACACCCACAGTAGGAGTCGTGTGGGGATAGTCACCCTGTTATCTTGACTCCGATTAGCACCTGGATTAAACTGGTGATCCCTTGAGTAAGATAACACTCCAGGATAACATATTTTCCCGTGAGAAACTGAGGTGATAACAGGTGTAGTTATTGAATTAATTATTTTTACCTCTATGGTCTAGTTCAATAAGGGTCAAAATCTTGTTTTTTTTAGTTATATTGGTTGCCAGGGGTACGATAACACCTTTGGGATAACACTGTTTTCCCATGAGAAGGCAATTTAAAGAGGTGATCCTTATGTGGCAACACTGTGATTCATTAATGAGCTAATATAACCATTATGTAATAGTTCAATAAGTGTCAAAGTCCTTTTTATATTTATACTTGGTTGCCCTGGGTACGATAACACCCATGAGAAAGCAATTTAAACCGGTGATCCTTATATGGCAACACTGTGATTCATTAATGAGCTATTATTACCCTTCTGTACCTGCTCAATACGTGTCATAATCCCGTTATCATTATACAGGTGTGTCATGAACGGGTTACCTGTCGTTGGGATCACATCTTTCCCATGAGAAAACATCTGTTCATTAGTTCACGATTTATTAAACGTGAGAGGCTAATATGGCAACACTTCCCACCATCTGTGAGCCATTATCACCCTTATGTAGCGACTCAATAAGGGATAAAATCTCCTCTTATTTAACCACTAGACAACCCGGAATAAATGATCGGTTCTTTCACGTTTTAGATACAGGTTTTGCCTTCGTTAAATCATTGAGTGTTTAACGAAAGAAAAAATATAACGAAAGAAATGTTTAAAGATTACAACGAAAAAGAGAAAGAAGGAAAAAAGGAAGGAATTAAGTGGATAAAAGAAGAAGATAATAAACTTAAGTCAACCCGGAAAAAATGGTCTGGCTTATCACGCTTCCCGGTCAAGTGTGAGAGAGAGAGAGAGAGAGAGAGAGAGAGAGAGAGAGAGAGAGAGAATAGTGAATAAGAAGAGGTGTGTGTGTGTGTGTGTGTGTGTGTGTGTGTGTGTGTGTGTGTGTAGAAAAGTCCGAGCATCACGACACACACAACAACGGGGAACAGGAGTTAGCACACACACACAATACAGGTCCCGGGGGTCGGTCGTTCCAAGCTTCCCGCCTAACCGTCAGCTTGAGGCGTTCTGAAGCTGCTGGTCGACTAGTCACGCTTAGCTGTGTTTGGCTTTGGACCGGCGGCCCCTGGTGGAGGTCACGGTAACTGGAGGGAGGGGGAGGGGGGAGGAAGAGGGGGGGAGGAAGAGGACAGACAGACAGTAGACAGACAGACAGACAGACAGACACGACGCCTTGATGCCTGACAGGTGAGGCTGAGATACCTGGCAGGTGTAATTATAGGCGGGAGGTGTTGGGGCGGGGCGGGGAGGTGTTGAGCGGGGTTGGGTGCTGTAGGTGGGTCGGGGAGGTGTTGGGACGGGGCTGGGGGCTGTTGACGGGGCTGGGAGGTAAGTGGGCAGGCTGGGGGCTGTAGGTGGGTTTGGGAGGTGTTGGGGCAGTGGGCTGGGGGCTGCAGGAGAGGCGGGAGGTGTTGGGGCAGGGCTGGGGGCTGTAGGAGGGGCGGGAGGTGTTGGGGCAGGGCTGGGGCCAGGTGGGCGGGAGGTGTTAGCAGGTCTGGGGGCTGTAGGTGGGCGGGGAGGTGTTGGGGCATGGCTGGGGCTGTAGGTGGGCGGGAGGTGTTGGGGCAGGGCTGGGGGGCTGCAGGTGGGGCGGGGCTGGGGGCTGTAGGAGGGGCGGGGAGGTGTTGGGGCAGGGCTGGACCATGGCCCCAGGGAGAAGGGCCATTGTGAGCCATTATATGATATCTAATTAAATGACACATATGGCTCCCATGTGCACGACGTTCATATGTGTACAAGTGTGTGTGTATGTATGTATGTATGTATGTGTGTACCGCAACCACCACTACCTAGCCGCAACCGCCACCAGCCGCAGCCGCAGCCAGACAAGGGGGCCACGACCTCGCCTCCTACAGGAAGTCCCAGACGTGACGCTCCCGCAGGACTCCTGGGGGGGGGAGGGTGAGGGTGAGGGTGAGGAGGGGGAGGGAGGTGAGAGGGGTGAGGAGGGTGAGAGGAGAGGAGGGAAAAGAAGGGAAGGATTTACGATAGACAGAAATTTTGCTGTGAAGAGTCTTCTCCGTCTCTCTGTCTCCGGCTCTCCGTCTCTCCGTCTCTCTGTCTCTCCGTCTCTCTGTCTCTCCGTCTCTC